GGGGGAACCATAGACTGTGTATATATATATATATATATATATATAATGGGGAACACGAAGACAATAGGAGGGTTAAACAAGAATAGGAACATGAATCCACAAATAATGTAACAAAGTATTTGTCGTGCTTTCCCCTCACTTTATATAATTTAATAAGGAAGAGAAGAAACATGACTACGTTTCTAAAAGTTCTGCTTCTCTCTATATACTTCACCCATCTGAATATTTTCCATGCAATCTTGAAAATGACCAGCAGATGGCGCTGAAGATGACCAACATCTGACAGGTGAGGTGTTTCCCCAGCAGCCAATAGGATTACTCCGTGTTCAACCTGCAGGAGAACAAGGATGTGATTGTTTTCAGCAGGATCAGAGAGGTCTCACTCTGACTGTTTATTCAGAGCTCAGATCAAAACCTGTTTTTCATAAATACTTTTCTTTAGGAGTTATTGAAAAAATGTTATTTACAGGAATAAAATAAAACACCTCTTTCCTCCTGGTACAAAAATATGTATTTTTTGTTGGATTAATGTATTTTTTGAATTAGTTAGATGTATTATTTAAGTGATAAGCAAGATATTACTATTATATTATATCATAGCATGGTATATCACATCATTGAATGTTATAATATACATTTTTACTATTATATAATGTTATATGGGTTTTGATTTTATGCATTGCTTTTATTTTATAATCTTTTTTTTCAATAGCTGCTTCTATTATTAATTTTAATTTCCCTTACTGTGTTGTGTTTACGTATTCACCATTATACACCAAAATAAACTTATTGTATATATAAAACATATATAAAATAATAGTGAAAACCTACTGTACCAGCTTTTGAACCAGGAAGCGACTCATTTTTATTCCATCAGAGTGACACATCCTGTCTGTAGTTCTCATCTCTGCACCTGTAGTTCATTCAGTTCCTCTGTAGTTCCTTCACTTCCTGAACACCTCAGCTCCTCCACGGAGAGTGTTTTCATCCCTTCCTCTGCAGACTTCTCTAACCTCATCTCCGGCTTAAAAACCCCTCTGACACCCCGGATCCCTCCCGCTTTAACCCCCGAAACCACAACCCGGAGGTCGGTGCTCCGGACCCGGGAAATAAGAACCGTTGACCCGGGAAAGAGGAGTTAGCTGTGGGGCTAGCAGAGCGTTAGCATCGCGGAGAAAGCTCCGGACCAGCGGGCAGAGGAGCACATTATGGCCGCAGGAAGCGTCTCTCAGACCGGGGAGGAGAAAGGAGTGAGCCGGGTTCAGAGTGACGGTGAGTCCTGGGGAAATGAGAACCGGACGGTGGGCTATATGTATACGGCCTGTAAGGCTGTCAAACTGGGGTTATTGGGTGGCTGAATGATAGCTGGACTGGTGTGTTAAATTAGTTATTATTTAATTAAAACAATGTGTTTTAAATAACAAACAGTTGTGTTTCTCTGTAGCTCTAAGCTGACTAGTAGCTAGCTGAACAAACCCCACTTAGCTGCTTTTAATGAGGGTTTTTTCATTAAAGTAAAAAGTGATATACCAACTTATGATGTGGGAACATAATCATAGTTTAATTGTCAATAATAATGTCTTAGTTTTAATGTAATCTATCTGAATTGGCATGCTACCTGAGCTGGAGGCTAGGCTAACTCCACTGTTTACTGGTGTTTTTAATAGTTTGTGTGAAGCTAACTGAGGCATAAAGTAAAGTTTTGTTGCTGATGCTAATGCTAACACACTGATAACAGCCCTATTAAAGGTGAATTAACAAGCAGGCAGTGTGCAACATTAACTCTGTGGTCTGGTGAGTGATGCCACTTCTAGCTATGTATAGTCAGATGTAATATTTCCATATTTTAACTAAATGTTGTTCATTCTGTGTCAGTAAGTGTGAAAGGTCTAGCAGATGGTGACGTGGAGGTTGGGTTAAATATTCAAAGGCTTTATTGTCAACAGTGGTGGGACAAGTACTCTGATTGTGCAGATTGGTCCATTTCAGTGTAATATATGACATGTTTTATAATTATTGATCAGTACAGTGTTGATTACATTTCACATCGTTCATCCAGATCTGTAAAGTAACTAAAGGTATTAAATAAATGTAGTGGAGTAGAAGTACAAAGTAACACACACACACACACACACACACACACACACACACACACACACACACACACACACACACACACACACACACACACACACACACACACACACTCTCTCACACCCATTATGTCAACACACACATCCTCTTTGGGCAGTTGTTCTGGATGTGTCTTCAGGTTTGTCTACATTCATTATTTTGTATTAAGAAGCTTTGTTGCTATATAGAGAAGACTCAGTTTTATATACAGCAGTACACATATCTTTGGCACTCAAAACCTTTACTTAAGTAGAAATAATGCAAGTAAAAGTAGTCATTGTGCAGAACAATATTCCTGGTCAGCTTTGAATTAAATCTATCTTATAATAACATAACATTTTAACGTATATTATATACATTTAGTCAAACAAGGGAGATCACAGATATCACGTTTTAATCATGGTTTTAATTGAAGAGTCTTTAAAAGCTTGCCATATCACATTTTAAAGTAATCTCTTTGACCTTAACTAAGTGTGTTATCACTTCATTCAGCAGAGTTAAGTGGCTTGTGTTGTTTCTGTTTCCAGTTATCAGTCTTTGTGCCGAGATTGAAATATTAGATTGGTTGTTTGACAGCTTTACAGTAACTACTTGAACTCAACACACGAACTGCTGAAATAATTTCATAACATTCATCTGCTACTTAGTAATTATTTATCTATTATCTAATATATCATTCCAATAACTTGTATATAGACTACACCCTCCAAAAAAACGCGGGCAAAATTCCTTGATTATGCGGGCTAAAATCCTTGATTATGCGATTAAATATGCGGGGTTTTTATGTGATTTTATGCGGTGAAATTGCGGGAAGTTGCGAAATATGCTAAATATGCGGGAAAAAATTATAAATGTTTTTTTTAAATATTGGGCTGTCTTATTTATTCTCTCTCACACACAACCTGCCACTAACGTTAAACCCCTTTACTATTCAATTAAACACATTCAATGTTTATTTATTGTAAAAGCAGTTGGGCTATTTTAATCTCACACACCCTCCCCCCCCCAACACACACACACACACACACACACACACACACACAAACACACTTCTCCGCCTCATTCTGTTTTCATTTACTCGTTCGTTATCTGCCAGCTTCAATCTTGTAGGCTACTCACTTCGTTTCTTGTAGCCCTCGAAAGGGTTTTGGAGGTTGAGGCCTCGGTGAACGGGAGTTGTTTGGCTTTCTTGTCCGCAGCAGCAGAAAGCATTTTCGAATGTTTGAATGAATCAAAGTGGGTCGTCACCGTCGATTTTCTCTATGCTCCAACACACAGTTGCACGGGTGCAGAATAGTTTCCCCCCACTTTCGTGAAAGACATCGGGGTACTGCTTTGCCCG